CGCTCTTCCTCCGGCACGTGCCAGCCCCGCCGAGGTCTTCCAGCCTTCCAGTCAGGCTACAGAACTAGTAGCTGCCTGTCGCTGTCACCCCTTGGGGTGAGGACCCCTGATGAAGCAGGGGAAGGGCCTCATTGCTCTCTTGTTTATCACAAGGTACTTTCCAGAATCCATTTCTGTTTCTGTTCAAAAACACCCCAACGGCACTGTAAGCCTTCACTAACTTAAGGTCACACGTGAACTGGTTTGTGCTCCGCAGCAGACGACTTTATCAGAGGCCCTGGACAGAGAATGGGTGTTCATTCTCTTCCTGGAGTTTTGGCTTAGTAGTGTTCTGAGAGAATCTTCTAATAAGTGCCTCTTTTGTGTCCCCAAGGGCCACCTGCCTAACGTGTCACCCTCTCCCTAACAGCCAAGCTGCCAGGCCGGCCCAGCGCTCTGTGGGGGGATGCAGGGACCCTGGGCTCTGAGCAGCAGGCCTGCCAGGGTCGGGGGCCCAGCCCAGCCCCGTGTGGACCTCAGGCAGAGGCTCCTCCTTCAGGCCCAGGGCTCCCAGCGGCTTGCAGGCCACTTCCAGGGAGTTGCCCTGTAGTGGGCAAGAGAGCAGGCAACCTCCCCTGGACCTGGTTCTGATGTGGAGGCGTAAGGGGAACACCTGCAGGATAATAAACCATGCTGCTTATTCCTCCCTGAATCAGGAAGGTTTCCAAACCCCAAGGCAATGAGTTTCTGAGTGTGCTGTCCGCAGGAATCCACGGTTCCAGCTCCTTCATTTTAAGCCAGTGTCAATTCATCACACATGTAAATGCCTGTGTCCCGACAGATGCTAAAGAAATTCAGGGAAAATAATTACTTCTGGCAAACCAGTTGGAGGGGCTGGGAGGATCTGTGTTTCTCAAATAGATCAACTGCTAATGGTTTATTTTTCTCCCCGGGAATTCTCAACTTCCTCATTTTAAAGTAGGTGATAGATAACTAGACTTGTACGCATGGGGACATCCATGGCCACGAGCTAGATTTTCCGACACTGAATTTCAATTAAAAAATAAAAGAATGTAAATGAACATCAGTGTGCCCACAGGCTACTGAGTGACGGGCACAGAAGGCAAAGAAGACCGGCTCTTTTGATTTCTTGGTGTTCCTGGTGCCTCAGATGAAGGGTATGGCTACGAGGAAAGACGCCCAGGAGGCTGTATCAGGAAAGGCTTGGGTTGAAAAGATCACACCGGAGGCTCTGCAGCTCCCAACTGTCGGAGCAGAAGACAGAGGCCGGACAGGACCTGACTTCCCACAGGGGCTGCCCCCTTCCCTCCTATCTGAGTTGGCATTTGGGAACTCTCTGCAGATGTGTTTAAACAGACACTAAAAGCTGTACACTGGGAGGAAAGGGCTACAGAGGACAAGCTGGAGCCTGATCCTGAGGGCAACCTCTCCCTGACCCCACCCCCAACACTACTTCCAGCCTTTGGTCCACAGGTGCCACCGCTGAGACTAGACAAGTTACATGGCAGAACTGGTGACCATGCGACCCCGGCCGCCACACGTGTTCCCCGGGTTAAAGAGCTGTGAAGCGCTGGAGGGGCTCGTGATTCTGTGGGAAACCTCCTTGCTGGCCGAAGGGAGCCTCCGCCTGCGAGGGAGCCCTGGCCCTGCGCGGCCCTCGCAGCGACAAGGATGCTGCCCAGCCGTCCCTGCCCCGCCCCGCCCCCGCCGAGCGAACGCTCCAGAAGGTTGGCGGGATTGCTGTGGGGGAAGGTTATGATCTGTGCGTGGGGTTTTCGCTGAGAAAACATAACTGGTCTGTATAACGATTCAACTTGGAATCTTGACCTCATTAACACTAAGCAGTCGAGTGCAGATTCACAGGCTCTCGGGAGACATCTAGTGGAAGGTAACTGACAGGTAAGAGATGAGGTGGATAGAAAGACGCGTAGGAGGAGGGAAAGCCGGTGGACCCGCTGCGGCCGCGTGCGTGTGATCTAGACCCGCTCGGAGGCCTTCCTTCCCGGTGTCACCCACCTTACTCTTGGACGGGACACACTTGGCGATTTTGTCCCAGCGGTCAGAGGATCCCTTTGGGTACTGCTGTAATGCTAACTCCAGAAGCTTCTGTTGGCTCTGAGTCCAGGGCTCCTCCGCGGCTCGCGCTCGCGCTCGCTCTCTCTCTCTCTTCTGGCTCTCATCGTCGCTGGACTCGTGCTGTTCCGACATGTCGAAGTCCTTCTGCCTCTTTCCCCGGACCTTCTCTTCCGGCTCGGGCGGCCGGGCTGGCCTGCGCCTCCGAGGCCGGCTCTGCTCCGCGGCCTCCGGCTCGGCCTCCTCCTCGCCGTCCTCCTCCTCCAGCTCCCCAGCCTGCTTGGCCTCCTCCCGCTGAGTGACGATATCGTCCGGCAAGGTGGTGGCGGCCTTGGGGGGCCGGGAGTTCTGGGCTGTGGATCTGAGTTCGGAGAGTCTGACCATCCCTGTGAGAAAGGACACACGGAGGGGAAGGGCAAGGTCAGTTCCGGTGACAAGAGTCAGGACAGCTGCCTTCACCACAGCAGACAGTGTGCTGGGCATTTTGCATGTATTGTATACTTAATGTTCACACTATTCTATAAAGACAGCCATCGTGACCCCAACTGCACAGAGGAGGGAAGTCAGTCTCAGAAGCAGCAGAGGTGGGATCTGAACCCACTTCTGTCTGATTCCAAGCCTTTGTCCTTCCACCGCTCTGAGGACTTCGGGGGCCTCCCAGGGCCAGGTTGCCATTAGAGGATGAGACGGTCTCTTTGAGAGGGGATAAGCGACTACTCTCGAGGTATGGAAAGATGCAGAATCTAGGGTTGTTATTAGTTCCGCGAGCACAAGTACAGTGAATCCGTCAGACCTCCCGCCGGGCTCACCCTGCTTGGGGGACCGCCCCCCCCGCCCCCCAGCCAAGCTGCTTCCTGTGCCACCGCGATGCCTCGCTTGACAGAAGAGCACACTCTTCGTGCCACCCACAGGTGTGTTCAGCCACGCCTTTCCCGCCTTGCTCACACACTCCCGACCCCTCCGGTGCTCTAGGAAGATCTGTCTGTGCCCCACCGCCTTTTCAGGAGCAGGTATCTGGAGACTGTGTCGGAGGGGAGCGTCTTTCACAGAAGCACGTTGCGCGCTTGGGCCTCCACACGCAGACCAACAGCCACGCTGGTAGGAGGGCAGTCTGGAAATGCTCTCCTCGCGGGAGCCCGCAGAACCGCACGCCCCGTCCTCTCCAGGGGAGACGTTTCGAGATCTCAGGGTTTGCTGGTCCCTAGTAGGTTACATCGAGTACAGGGACCTGTATTTAAGTGGAGTTGGAAGGTTTAGGAGGCATTTTCGTCTTGGTTCCGAGCAAAAAGTATGGGGACTTGGACAAAATTCCACTTAGTCTTGGAGGAAATGGATTAAAACAATTTTTTTAAATTTTATTTTTGGTTATGTTGGGACTTCGTTGCTGCACGGGCTTTCTCTAGTTGTGGAGAGTAGGGGCTGCTCTTCGTTGTGGTGCACAGGCTTCTCACTGCGGTGGCTTCTCATTGCAGAGCACGGGGCTTCAGTAGTTGTGGTGCACGGGCTTAGTTGCTCCGTGGCACGTGGGATCTTCCCAGACCAGGGCTTGAACTCGTGTCCCCTGCATTGGCAGGCGGATTCTTAACTGCTGCACCACCAGGGAAGTCCCTGGAGGAAATGGATTTTGAGAAACATAGATTCTTGGAGAAGCTGCTTGGCCTGTCCTGAAGGACGCTTTGTGTGTGTGGTGGCAATGGTGGACAGTGTGGGGAAATGGCACAGACTGGCTTTCCCCCGCGTGCCCCCCTCCCCCCCAATACTAGAGGAACAAGGTTTTTACAGTTCTTCAAACTTATTAAGTACATCTTAGCACCACTGTGTGTGCAGGGCTGCATTGGCTTGTGGGTGCTTGTAATTCGATCCCTTTCACAGAGATGACCAGTAGAGTCCATTGGGCAAAACAAGTTATTATAAAAAGGGATTTATTTTGAAGGCATGGCTTTAGATTAATGGGATGGAGCGGGTGCTGACTCACCTGGGGAGCAGGTAACTGAATCCTTCAGTTGCTTGGCTTTGGTTGTCACCTGTTTCAAAATATAAAAGCAGAGAAAATCTGACTTTCCATATGTCTACTGTAGGTCAAGTGACCTCTTTCATAGAAGGTCCGTGTGAAGGAACAGGGTTTACTGAATCTTAGGCCTGGATGGACCCTCAGTCATCAGTTCAGTCCATTTTCTTAACCAGCGTGGAAACTGAAGCCCAGAGAGATTAAATGAATTACTCCAAAATATCCATCTAATCAAGTGGCAGAGTCAGAACAAGAATTCAGATCACCTGATTACAGCCCCATTATACAAGGCTGCCTGTGAAGATGTACTAGTTTCCAGAATCACTGTACAAACGTGTCGTGTTTTTTAGTTAGAATTTCCTGAAAGAGTATCTTTCTTCACTGGAGAATATTATACCAAGGGGTATTATGAACAATGGGGAAATTTACTCTTAAGCTAAGGATGTTATAATACAAAAGTATTTTCTTCGCATCCCAGAAAGAAACCCTAAGAGCACCAAGATTGACGTTAGCGGAAGGACCTCTTGGTGGAGTAGTAGATGGACCCAAGAACCATGAGACATTTACATACACAAGTGTGGATCCACAGAAATAATGTTTTCTTTCTTCTGTATAAATGGTATTATATTGTACGTCTCACCCTTTAGCTTGCTTTTTTAAATTTAATGATGTATTGGAGGTCTATACATAGATTTCCCTTTTTAAAACTGAGATAAAATTTACACAGAGTGGAATGTACAGATTTTTAAATGTACATTTCAGTGAGTTTTGACAAAAAACCCCCATGCAACCAACATTCTAATCAAATTACAGAAAATCCCTGTTATCCTAGAAAGTTCCCTGTGCCCCTAAATCCATCTCTACCCTGCCATAGACAACCACTGTTCTGATTTCTATTATATATATTTTAAACAGGAGATCAAAATTAATTTAAAAAAATTAAAGTTGGATAGTTAACTGCCCCAATGCACTTATTAAACAAGCCATCCCTTCTCCATTTATTTAAAAGGTTAACTTTATTAAAATTATATTAAAATTACATTTCATTGTAAACATGGAATACATACTTTGTATTCTCTCCCCTTAACCCGTGTAAATTCTTGAACCAACATTTTGCTGCTTTAATGAAATTTTTAAAGGAAAACCTCAGAAAGCATGCTCTAACATCCTCAGAGCTCGGAGTTAGAGCTCATATTCAGTTTTGGTTCCACCTCTGATTAGCTGGGTAACCTTGAGCTATTTCCAATCCTCTCTCTCTCTCTCCCTCTCATGTATTACCCTCTGTAATATGTGGATAAAACTGCTAATACCTTTTGTCTGGCAGGGATGTTTTAAGTTTGAAATAAGCCCTTAGCATGATACCTAGCAAATGTTATAAGGCTTATAATTACCTATTATAATTGATGTGGATCATTTGTTTTCCATTCATGCAAAAGGGCAGAATTAGAGAAAATATTTAAAGCTGCTTAGAAACACTCTTCAATTTTATTCCCTCTCTGTGGATGAACTTGCTTTGTATTTTATGGGAAAAAACTTGAACTTATCCAACACGAGCTTCCCTGACTTCCAACTTTCCCAACTCAAATTTCTGATTGCACCACCATATATCTTTCCCACATTTTATATAACCTACACATATCCTCTTGTACATTTTGAATCATCTCTGCATTACTTACAATACCTGATACAATCTAAATGCTATGTAAGTAGTTGCCACTGTGAGGCAAATACGTGTTTCGCTTTTTACAACTTTCTGGATTCCCCCCCAACCCCCAAATATTTTCCATCCGAGGTTGGTTGAATTTGCAGGTGTGGTGCCGACCATACCGTGGGGCTTCTCTCTGTAACTGCCGTTAAGTGTCTTATTTAGACGTCTCCTAGCTCCTGAAACTAAACAACTCCCAACCTAAACTCATCAACTTCTCTGCTTTCCCCCCTTCCTTTTCCTAACAGTACTATCATCCCAGTCACGTAGGGGCAAAACCAAAGAGCCAGTTTTTGGACTTTTTTCTCCCTCCCCAACCAGCTGCCACGTTCTTCACAATACTGATCCCATGTGTTCCCATCTCTCTCAGATCTCCACCACTTGTATTAGTCCTTCATTCTCTGACTGAATTAATATAACAGCCTTCTAACTGGTCTACAACTTATTTATTAGCAGTTCCCATGGAATAATATCCCCAAGGCAGAGTTCTGATCAGATACCTTTCATGGCTCATCAATGACCATACAACAAAGTGTTCAATTCTTAACCTGACACAAAAGGAAATCCACAATCTGATCTATTTTCTTTCCTGTGTGCATCCTTCCTTTCAGGGAACTAAACAATTAATGCTCCCCAGATGGTCAGAAATTCTGTACTCTCTTGGCCATTGTTAACATTTGTCTTAAATGATTTTTTCTTCATCAAACCTCTCATTAAATATCTATCCGTCCAGGGGCTTCCCTGGTGGCGCAGTGGTTGGGAGTCCGCCTGCTGATGCAGGGGACACGGGTTCATGCCCCGGTCCGGGAGGAACCCACATGCCGCGGAGCGGCTGCGCCCGTGGGCCATGGCCGCTGGGCCTGCGCGTCCGGAGCCTGTTGCTCGGCAGCGGGAGAGGCCACAGGAGTGAGAGGCCCGTGTACCGCAAAAAATAAATAAATAAATAAATAAATAAATAAATAAATAAAAAATCTATCTGTCCAGAGCCAAGTCATCCAAAGAGATACTTGCAAGTATGACTTTCTTCTTGAAGACTTCAGAGATGCCCACCACCAGGACTACCAAGTCTGGTGACAATACCTCTCCTCTCTCAATTTCTACTGTATTTTTAAAGATTCTATATTTTTACATCATAATACAATAAAAATTACCTTTTCCTCTTTTGTTGCACAGTTCTATGAATTTTAACACATTTATAGATTCATGTAACTATAGGATACACAACCTACATATAGGATATGGAAGAATCCTTTTTTCTCTCCTGCATCTTGTTATTTAACAAAATATTTTGGAGATTATTCCAGAATAGTACACAAAGACCTCCCTTGTTCTGTTTCTTAAGAAACAGCTTAACTGAGATATAATTCATATACTATACAATTCATCCACTTAAAGTGTATAATTCAGTGGTTTTTACTAAATTCAGATATGTGCAGCCATCATCGTGGCCAACCTGAGAACACTTTCATCACTTTGAAAAGAACCCCCATATCCTTTAGCTATCATTCTCCATCCTCCTTATCCCACCCCATCCCCTCATCAAGCAGTAAGCAACTAAAATCCCTGTCTCTACAGATTTCTCTATTTTGGACTTCCATATGAATGGAATCATACAATATGTGGATTTTTCTGGCTGGCTTCTTTCACTTAAGGTGACGTTTTCCAGGTTCATCCAAGTTGTAGCATATATCAGTACTTTATTCCTTTTTATTGCAGAATAATATTCCATTGTATGGATATACCACATTTTGTTTATCCATTTATCAGGTGATAAACATTTGTGTTGCTTCCATCTTTTGGCTATTATAAATAATGCTGCTATAAACATTTGTGTATAAATTTTTGTGTGGGCATATGTTTTCATTTCTCTTGGGTATATACCTAGGAGTGGAACTGAGGAGTTATATGGTAACTGTGTTTAACTTTTTGAGGAACTGTCATTCTGTTTTCCAATATGGCTGCACCATTTTACATTCACATCAGCAGTACATGAGTCTTCTGATTTCTTTACGTCTTTCCTAAAACTTGTTATTACCCAACTTTTTGTATTATCCCACATCCTAGTGGATGTGAAGTGGTATCTTGTGGTTTTAATTTGCATTTCCCGAATGACTAGTGATACTGAACATTTTTTTTTCATGTTTATTGGCTATTTGTATATCTTCTTTGGATAAATGTGTATTCAGATCCTTTGCTCATTTTTTATTTGGGTGATTTGTCTTTATCATTGAGTTGTAAGGGCTCTTTATATATTCTGGATACAAGTCCTTCATCAAATAAATGATTTGCAAATATTTTCTCCCATTCTGTGGGTTGTCTTTTCCCACTCTTAGTGGTGTCCTGTGAAGCACAAAAGTTTTAAATTTTGATGACATCCACATTTTTTTTTCTTTCTTTTTAATTGCTTGGACTTTTGGTGTCCTATCTAAGAATCCTTTTGCCAAATTCAAAGTCATGAAGATTTACCCTTCTGTTTTCTTCTAAGAGTTTTATAGTTTTAGCTCTTACATTTAGTGGAATATTGCAATCTTAACAATGTTATAAATCTTCTGATCCATGAACAGGAGATATTTTTCCACTTATTTTGATCTTCTTCAATTTCTTTCAACAATGTTTTGTAGTTTTTAAAGTTTGTATTTTTTGTTAAATTTATTCCCAAGTATTTTATTCTTTTTGATGCTATTGTGAGTGCAATTATTTATTTCATTTTCAGGTTGTTCATTGTAGGTATATAAAAATAAAACATTTTTGTATATTTATGTTTACTGCAATCTTGATGTACTAATTTTATTCCAATAGTTTTTTAGTTAATTACTTAGTATTTTGTATACATAAAATCATGTCATTAGCAAATAGGGACAGTTTACTTCTTCCTTTTCAATCTTATTTCTTTTTCTCAGCTAACAGCCCTGGCTAGAACCTCATATAATGTTGAATAGAAGTGGTGAGAGCAGACATTCTTGTCTTGTTCTTTATCTTAGCAGGAAAACATCCCCTCTTTCACCAATAAGCATGATATTAACTGTGGGTTTTTAGTAGATGTTCTTTATCAGGTTGAGGCACTTCCCTCTTATTCCTAATTTGTTGAGTGTTTCTATCATGGAAGGATGTTGGATTTGTTAAATGCTTCTATTGAGATCTTGTTTTTTAACTCTATTGATATGATTAATTTACATTAATTGATTTTCAGATATTGAATCAACTTTGCATTCTTGGGATAAATCCCACTTGATTAGGGTATATAATTATTTTTATAAGTTGCTGGATTTGGTTTGCTGTATTTTGTTGAGAATTTTTGCATCCATATTCAC